CAACTAACAAGTTGGGCTGAAATTGGGCCAGGAAAGCTTGAAGAGTATCCCTTTGCCAGCCAGGCAGCAAATTCTGACATTGCTGCTGGGCCAAGTCAGTTGACTCACCAGCAGTGTGCGCAGGGAGGTGGCTTGGGGCTGAGTTACCAGCTAGGGGGATGGGGTATCTGGGGCTTCCCAGAGTGTCTAACTTGTTGGGCTGAGGGAGGGCTGTGGAGGTATCATACACCTTCCCATTCTCCTGAGAAGAGAACTCCATCCACTCTCACCCTCTCATACCCCTCTCACTATTGGCAAGTCTTTCAAACTGCTGGCTCTACTTTGGGTCTCAGGACCAGCAGAGCATGCCCATTCTTCACAAGTTGCTGGAGTCTCAGCCTCCCAGAATGTTCTTCCTGTCCCTGGTGTCCAGCACCACTAATCACCAGAACCCAATGTAATGTGGACTCATGCTCCTCCTGGAGCAGATCTCCAGGGCCATGTGTGCAGCATTCTTGAGCTCCTGTCCCCTCCCTGCTCTGTTCCTCTTTCTCCTGCCTGTGGGCTAGGATTGGGGGAGGTCTTGGGTCCCCCTTAATGGCAGCTCTTCCATTTTATCCTTCTCTTCTGTGTGGTCTTCTGCCTTCCCCAGGTATAGGTGATCTGTTCTGAAATCTTCAAGTTGGTTTTAGGTTTAATTGTATTTGCTTTATTTTATTCTATGTGTTTTTGGGAGGAGGTTTCTACCTTGGCTTCATACTCTCCCATCTTTTTCTCTGACCTGATGTAATATTCAATATGATCCCAATCAAGATTCCAATACTTTTTTTAAACATTAAAAAAAGTTGTGGTAAACTACACACAACATGTATTTATCACTAGTAGTATTTAGTACATTTACAATATTGTGCAGCCACTATCTATTTTAAGAACACTTTTATCACTCCAGAGGAGACCCATGCCCCTTAAGGAGTCACTCATCATTCCCTACCCCCTGCCCCAGCCTCTGGTAATCACTAATCTTTCTATTAAAAATAATTCTCTATTTGGTCGGACATCTCCAAGTATCTTCATCCTCCGCTTTGTCCTTCCCAGGCTTTTGTGTCTGCCTGTTCTTGCCCTATCTGCCATCTTGGTAAGAACTATATGACTTTGAATTTTGCAAGCTGGCCCAGTCCTGGGACTGCATGGAGCAGGTGAAACAATGCTAAGTGGATAAGCAAAAATGTCACAGTATTTCCTTACCAAAATTTAGCAGTCTCTTTCTTCATTAAGCACCATCCTAGTTGCTCTGTTTTTTTAAAAATTAGATCCTAAAATTCCAATAAGTTGATTCTGATAGTTATTCTTAGAGCTCTCTAATCCACTATGTTCCATGATGGTGGAGGAGTTTGTGTATGTGTGGAAAATAACAATTCTAAAATTTACATGGAAATACCAAGCATCCAAGAATAGCCTGAAAGTGTGTTCCTGATGAATTATAAACTGGAATATTTTCTACCATATAATAGACTTGTTATAAAGCTTTAGTAATTAAGACAAGGGTAGAAAAATAGACCAATGGAACAGAATAGAGAATTCAGATCCATACATAAATGGTACTTGATTTATGGTAAAAGTATTACTGTAGAGTGGCAAAGTACTGTCTTTTTAATAAATAGTTTTTAATCATTTGGATATCTATATAGAGGAATATGAAAGTGACCTGTATCTCATACAATACACAAAAAATGAATCCCAGGTGGGTTGTAGATGTTAGTATGAAAGTCAAATCAATAAAGTTTATATAATGTAAGAGAATATTTTCATGACCTCAGGGTTGGGAAAGTTTACAAAAAAGCACAAACCATAACAAAAAGATTGACAAATTGGGCTATATTAAATCTAAGAATTCTGTTCATCAAAAGACAGCCTTGCTTAGAGCTAACCTTGGGGTTGGAGAAAGTACATGGAAGTGGAGCTGAAGCTGGATTGGCCATGAATTGCTAATCATTGAAGGTAGGTGACTGGCACATAGTGGTTTATTTATTCTACTTTTAAAAGTATGTTTCACATTTTTTGTGATAAAAAAATCAATGGAAAGACTCTAATAAGAGAGTGACAAGTCATATCATTGAGGAAAAAATGATATGTGTAAAATAGACAACTAACAAAAGGCTTGTATCAAGAATATATCAAGCCAAATCAATCTTGAGAAAGAAGAACAAATCATGTTCCTTGATTTTCAAACAATACTGCAAAGATAGAATAATCAAAATAGTATGATACTGGCACAAAATACATAGACCAACGGACAGAACAGACATCCCAGAAATAGGAAGCAAGAATATACAATAGAGAAAAGACAGTCTCTTTAATAAATGGTGTTGGAAAAACTGGACAGATACATGTAAAAGAATGAAACTGGGCCACTCTGTTGCACCATACACAAAAATAAACTCAAAATGGATTAAAGACCTAAATATAAGACCTGAGAACATAAAATGCCTACAAGAAAACATAGGCAGTAAACACCTGAACATAGCATTAGTAATTTTTTCTAAATATCTCCTAAGCAACAATATCAAGGGCAACAAAAGCAAAAATAAACAAGTAGGAATGCATCAAACTAAAAAGTTTCTGCACAGCAAATGAAACCATCAACAAGATGAAAAGGCAACCTACTGAATGGGAGATGTTTACAAATGATATATCTGAATAGGGTCTAATATCCAAAATATATAAAGAATTCATACAACTCAACACCAAAAAAACAAATAATGCAATTTAAAAATGGACAGAGGTCCTGAATAGACACTTTCCCAAAGAAGATATATAGATGGCCAACCAACACATCAATGTCAATAATCATGAAGGAAATGCGAGTCAAAACCACATGAGATATCAACTCACACCAGTCAGAATGGCTAATATTAACACGACAAGAAATGAGCTTTGGCGAGGATGCAGAGAGAAGGGAACCCTGATACACTGCTGGTGGGATTGCAAATGTGTGCAGCCACCTTGAAAGCAATATAGAGGTTTCTAAAAAAACTAAAAATAGAAATACTATATAACCCAGCAATTACATTTCTGGGAATTTACCTGAAGAAAACAAAATCACTAATTTGGAAAGATGATATATGCACTCCTATGTTTATTGCAGCATTATTTACAATAGCCAAAATATGGAAGCAACCTAAATGTCCATTGATAGATGAATGGATAAAAAGATGTGGTACATATATGCAATGGAATATTACTCCATAACATAAAAAAGAATGATGGGTGCACCTGAAGGTATTATGCTAAGTAAATTTAAGTCAGAGAAACACAACATGATTTCATTTATATGTTGAATCTAAAAAACAAAACAAAGCTAAACTAAGATAGACTCATAAACAGAGAACAGACTGGTAGTTGCCATAGGGGAGAACAGTAGGCAAAGGGGAAAAAATTAGTGAAATGTTTGACATCTTGATCTGGGTGATGATTACATTAGTATATTCACATGACAAAATTCATCAAGCTGTACAATAAGATTTGTGTATTTTATTGTATGCACTTCAGTATAAAACATTATATATTAAAAACTGCTTAAAACCAATTTGAATAAGAGAGACAATGTAGATGTAAAATACATGAAAAAAGGGTCAGGAACTCTGCTGATCTAGGGGAGAGAGAGCTGAAATGTGAGATGTCAGAGTAGTCAATTAAAGAAACAAGTAAAAAGGGAAAGTTTTAAATCACTTACTGCGATGGTATAAGCAAGAGTTAAAGCGTCTAAAACCAGAGGAAGCAACACCTCAGTCTACTCCATTTTCCCCATGGGACTGCATGTCTATCAAGAGTCAGGTGGATTAACACAGACATGGGTGTCCTCTCAACATTGGTTGAAGTCTCAAAGAGAAGACTCAGAAGTTTTATGAATCCTGAGGTGTGTGGTGGGAGGGCGGGGGGTGGTTAGAGGAGAGACTGAGGGATTGAAGGAAGAAGGTCAGAGTGGAGTCAGAGTGGGGCAAGTGTCTTCAAGGTTCCCCCATAAGGGGGTCTCAGCAGAGGTGCCTGAAGACCAAGGCCAAGGCCTCAGATAAAAGAGTTAGTAATGAGGGTGTTCGGGCTCAGAATGTAAATATGCCTAAAAGCAGAACTACTTAGGGGGCTTGAAACCTTGACTGTAACTCCCTTTGGAGGCTGCAGTACATTGGCTGTGTGCCACGTCTGCTGTGAACAGGAGGCAGCTTTCCTTGTGAGGCCTGTTGTATAAAGCCTCCATCAGGCCTAAAAAAGCACATAGGATTTTAGTCAGGAGCAGAACTCCTTAAGAAAATGCTAAACTTCAATAGTAATCAGGGAAATGCACATTAAAAGACTAACAATATTAAGGGTCGGTGAGAATGTAGAGCACCACGATATCTAAAAGATTTCTGATGGTGAATACAAACTAGTACAATAACTTTGGAAAATAGTTGGGCATATTCTGTCATCCAGCAATTCCATTTCTAGATGGAGTAGAACCCAAAAGATATATGTGCACTAGGAGATATAAGATTACACCCAGAAGCAGTCTTTCATAATAGCCTCAAACTAGAAAAAAAAAACAAATGTCAATCAAGTATAAAATGAATAAACAGCATTCATAAAATGGAATACTGACATTAATTTTAATAAAATGAATGAAATTTAACTAAACAATGCTGAAATACTAAAGCTAGATACAATAGTATACTATAGTATTCTACTTAAATGTAGTTTAAAAACAGAGAAAACCAAAGTACAATGCCAGCCTTCAAAATAATGATTACCTTTAGGAAGAAGGGAGTTGGCCATGAATTGTAGAGCACTTGAAGGAATGGGTTGAAATACAAAAACACAGATTTAGGTGATGGTTACAGAGGGGTTATGCTTTATGCACTTTCCTACATGTGTGTAATGCTTCAATAATTTTTTTTTAAAAGAAACAAAGATGGGCACACTAGATTTATAAAGTAGCCACATATTTTTAGAAGAAAAAAAAGCTGCATCACAAATAACATCCTTACCTCTTTAGGATTAAAATATCTCACTATCTGACGTGGCTCCCCTTGTCTTCTTATATTAATCAGACTTTTTAAGTGTTGGAATACAGCAACATTCTAAAGGATCAAACACATAAAATTTTATGGTCAAAACTGGAATTTCTACCTCTAATTAGTTTTTTTGCCTTATTTGGGCAAAATTAATAAAAAAATAAAATCAGTTTGTTAAAATACATAAGCTAGATTTTAGAAATATTATTCACTCATAGTTTGCTTTGAGAAGCCAGGCAATATCAGTATTATTCTCACAAAGAATTTACTCTTACATTTGTAACTGTATCACTATCAACTATAAATAAAATACCTAGAACTTTGGTTGAGTCATTTCTGTACACACTAGAGTAATCTAGGAGAAAGAGAAAATACAGCCTAGTGGGTAAGAACAAGGACTATGGCATAATATTTTCTGGGTTCAACGATTAGTACTTACCAGCTGTGTGACCCTAGACAAGTTGCTTAAACTTTCTGTTCAGTTTCTTAGCTTAAAAATGGGAATGATAGCTTTTCATACAGCTATGGTAAGGAATAAATGTGTCAATATTTGTAAAGCACTGAGAACAACTTCTGGCACAAGGAAGCACTCGATAAATATCTATTATTATCATTACAGATCCTCCTCATTCCTGTAGTAATGCCACTGATTTACAAACATTATCTATTTTTCATGTTAACACAAATTTAAGTCAGACAACTCCAAACAATTCTTCTATTTTGGGAAACTCTCTCTTTGGTAACCCACTCCTCATAACATATCAACCCAAAAAACCTTTAATAACTCTTAGTAAACTATCCTCTTCCCCCCACCCTCCGTTTTCTTACATTAAATCAATGAAATAAATGTGAATTGAGGTAATCCACAGCACCAGTATGACAATTTGAAGCCCCACTGCAAACTGTCAGTGGAAAGTGGTATAGCGCATTTCAAAACAAACAATACTCTTTCTGAAAGGAAGATATAATTTCCCCTAAGTAAAACCCCAAACTGAGTATCAAGAAAAAAATTATGAAGGTTTGAAATCTGAACAGTATATTCTAAATATGTATGTTACTGTATCAGTTATCTAATGATGCATAACAAACCACTTCAAAACTTAGTGGCTGAAAGCAACAACCCCTTTCTGTGGGCATGTTGCAGAGGTCACCTGCCAGATTGGCTGGAGCTGGGTGACTTAATATGGCCTCACACACACAGCTGGGTCTTCAGCTTGGATTGCTGGAACACGTGAGATAGCTGGGCCTCTTACTCTGAGTCTTTTCACAGTATGGAGGTTTCAAAATATGAAAGAGAGTGAAAAATAGAAGTGGCAAGGATTCCTACAGCCTTATCTTGGAAGTCACACATCATTTATTCTGCACTCTATTGTCAAATCAAGACCAAGTAGGCCCCAGGAGGTGAATCCCAAAATGTGACCCACAGTAAGTTCTACATATACTATGGCCTCACTCAAGGATGGCCCTGAAGGACAGGGACAGAGAGAAAATCCTTCCAGAGGACAGAACCTCAAGCAGTGTACCTGGTTGTACATTATGCTTGGAGGAAAGACAGCAGGGGTACAGATCTATGGACGGGCAGTGACTGATGGTTTAACTGAATGATCAGGGATTTGTAAGGACATGGTTAGAAAATTGGTGACAAGAAGATCTGGGGAAGAGGTCAGACCCCTCCAAATGGGCACCAGATATGAAGATATTTGTGTACAATGTGATGCTCACCAAAGAGTGACTTCAGCAGAGAGTCTTAGTAATCAGGCGGGCAAGGTGACGCATTCCCTAGAGCCAGCCAGCCTTTTCCTGCTGCTCTCCTTGCCCAACGGGCTCATGAACAAAGTGGCCTCAGCAGCAGGAATAAAGGTTTCTCTTGGGCTTAGCAACATGGATTTCTACTCACTGGATCTGTCTACTGCCACTGCTGAGTGCCCACTTTGCCAAACAGTGAGCCCCTGTTATGGCATCACTTCTTGTGGGAGTTCTCCAATTTCCTTGTGACACATGGATTTGTTTTCAAATAAATCAGGATACTACAGTCAACATGCTATATATTACATCCCTAGAACTTGTTCATCTTCTAACCTTCACCCATCCCCTACACCTGGCCCGTGGTAATCACCAATCTACCCTGTTTCTATGAGTTCAGTTTTTTTTTTCAGATTCCACAAATGAGATCATACAGTATATATAGTATTTGTCTTTCTCAGCCTGGTATTTCACTTAGCATCATGCCCTCCAGATGTTGTAAATAGTAGGATTTCCTTCTTTCCCATGGCTGAATAACATTCCATTTTGAGTGTACCTTTTCTCTTTATCCATTTATCTACAAATGCTTAGGTTTTTCCATGTCTTGACTATTGTGAATAATGATGCCATGAACATGGGGATGGAAAGGCCTTGTCAATATAGTGATTTCATTTTCTTTGCATAAATACCCAGAGGTAGAATTGTTGGATCATATGGTGATTTAAAAAAAAATTTTTGAAGGATGTCCATACTGCTTTCTAAAGTGGCTGCATCAAGTTACATTCCTATCAACAGTGTACAAAGGGTCCGTTTTGTACACAGCCTCACTAACACTTGGTATTTCTTTCTTTTTATATGATAGCAATTCTAGCAAGTGTGAGCTGGTATCTCACTGTGGTTATGATTTCATGTACCTGTTAGTAATTTATACATCTTCTTTGGAAAAATGTCTATTCTTGGAAAATGTCTTTGTGCCCACTTTTTGGTTTTCTTTTCTGTTGAATTATATGAGTTCATTATATATTTTTATATTACCCTGTTATAAGAGAGTGGTTTGCAAATATTTTCTCACATTTTGTAGGATGCCTTTTCATTTTGTTGACTTGTTTCTTTGGCTGTGTAGTCCCACTTTTTGACTTTGATGTAGTCCCACTTTTCTTGTTATTAAATTTTGTTATTAAAATTAAATACTTCCTATTATCAAAAAACACCTTAAAGAATGCAGTAAGGCCAGTCTGGTGAAGATACTTGCAATACATGTATTCAATAAAAGGCTTGTATTCAGGATATATAAGAAACACCTCCAAGTGAACATTAACAATGTAATAGTAGAGGTGATGGAATTGGGGTTTGGAAGATTGGGAGGATAGGCCAAAAAAATGGGTAGGGAAATTTATGACCTTATTATATATATAAATAAGGAAATATATAATCACATCACCATGACAAAACAAGAAACAAAGGTTTAAATATTCATTAAATAGTTCATCCTGCCTAAGGCAATCTACAGATTCAATGCAATCTCTTTAAAAAACCAACAGCATTACTTAACGAACTAGAACAAATAGTTCTAAACTCATATGGAACCTCAAAAGACCCCAAATAGCCAAAGCAATACTGAGAAGGAACAACAAAGCTGGGGGATTACTTAACTTCAAGCTCCTGACTACAAGCTCTACTACAAAGCCACAGTAATCAAAACAATTTGGAGGAGGAGCCAAGATGGCAGTGTGAGTAGGATAGTGGAAATCTCCCAAAACTGTATATATTTTTGAAAATACAACAAATACAACTATTCCTAAAAGAGAGACCAGAAGCTACACTACAACAGCCAGGCTACATCTATACTTGCGAGAACTCAGCACCTCACGAAGCAGGTAAGATACAAGCTGCGGCCTGGCAGGACCTGAGCACCCCCCCAACTCCAGCTCCCTTGTGGGAGGAAAGGAGTCAGAGCGGGGAGGGAGTGGGAGCCCAAAACTGCTAAATACCCAGCCCTAGCCATCTGCACCAGGAGCACAGACACACATCGCGTGGTGTGCTGCATATTAGGGAAACAGAAAAGTAAAATCTGCGAGCGGGTCCCTGCAGCCGGTGCCACTAGGATAAAAGAAAAGTGACAGCTTTTGAAAGTCTTAAAGGGACAGGGGCTTCACAGTTGGATGGAACCATCCTGGCACACACAGCCCAGCAGCTGGGAATCCCAGGGAACTCTGGGCACCCTAACCTCCTGGGAGGCAGCACAGTCCTGAAGCTCCTCATGGTGATAAACAGCCTTCCATCCATTCCCCCTCTGGCACATCCCCACCATAGCAGAGGAGCAGCCTGAGAGTGGCCACGCCCACAGCAGCCATGTACAGCCTCCTCCACAGCCACCTGGGCTAGACTCAGAGGCCCCGTCGGCATGCAGCTGCCCAGCACAAGGCACTAGGGGTTGCCGTTCTCGCAGGAGAGGAAGGCAACCAGCAAGCAAGAAGGGACTTTGTTCTCCCAGCTAACATGCACACCAACTGCCTATACATACCCCTATCACCAAGAAAAGGCAGAAGAATTTGATGCAGTCAAGAATAACCCAGACAACAACTGAGAGAGATCATGGAGAGATAGATTTAACCAATCATCCTGCAAAAGAATTCAAAATAAAGGTCATAACCATGTTGATGGACCTGCAGAGAAATATGCAAGAGCTAAAAGATAAAGTTGGGAGGGAGAATACAGAAACAAAACAATCCCTGCAAGACTTAAGAGCAGACTGGATGAGGTGCAAGAGGCTGTTAATGGAATAGAAATGAGAGAAGAGGAACACAGAGAAGCTGAGGCAGAGAGAGATAAATGGATCTAAGGAATGAAAGAAAATTAAGAAAACTGTGTGACCAATCCAAATGGAACAATATCCACATTATAGGGGTTCCAGAAGAAGAAGAAGGGAGAAAAAGGTATAGAAAGTGTCTTTGAAGAAATAATTGCTGAAAACTTCCCCAAACTGGGGGAAGAAATACTCTCTCAAACCATGGAAGCCCACAGAACTCCCAACACAAGGAACCCAAGGAATAGAACACCAAGACA